GGTCGTTGTCAAGAATCTATAAACACTGGAGTCAGAAAATAAAGTTACTTCCTTTCCTGTCATACCACTGAGATGTGTGGGTGTAAATCATCCCGTGTCCTTTAGTGACCGTTGTGGATGTTCTGGATGATGCTGCTCCATGTGGCTGCCCGTGCTTCAGCAGATTGCCAACCTACAAACCCAGCATCTCCAAGAATTTTCTCACATAGCTCCCTTCAGCCTGAGGTTTTTTGACTTGGCTTTAAATAATACTAGTGCTGCTGTTGAATTCTTAAATCGCTTCCACAACTTAGTGGCAAAAACTTGGTACATACATCCCTCTTCTGTGTATTTTAATGTTATTGGAGGATCTCCCAAATCATGAGGCAGCAGCCCGAGAGGTGACTTAGTTCTTCTTTCACTCACAACACAAATCCTGCAGTCAGTGAACTCTCTACATCTGGCAGCTTATAAATAATGAACTAACCTAACTAAAAATCAGGGTGTACCAGATACAACACAGGCTGTGAAGTAGCTGTGCTGTCTTAGTTTAATTTGAGCTTTGAGGGAGTGCAGGAACATCAGTGTCACCAAGGCACCAGCAGCACAACCCTCAATTAACTTACTGTTTCCACAGCAAGAAGCAAAACAATGCTGTTTTTGAAGATACCCCAATTTCTCTAACCAACAGCACTACAAAGCAGAGCAATGCTCTGAAAGGGATCATATGCTCATGAGTGGCTTTCTCCCAAGGGTGGCTTAAATATGGTCAAAAGATGAAATGTGGAAGTATTTTGCAAGCACTTATCACTTGTGTATGGGTGATAGAGCTACATCTGTGTAAACCACAGGCATGAGTTTCATTGATTTGGATGGGTAATTTATTTCTGACTCCACAAGGCAAACCCACGGGGACCAGCAGTCAATACTAGTAGAAGTGGATTAGCACCAAGAATGCATAACTTTTGGGTCAGCAGGCAGAAGAAATAGTTATTATTCCTATATTCCAGACCCAGGTGGAAAACGAAAGGAAAAAGTTAGTGTCAGCTGCAGGCTCTGTATATCGTATTTCTACTTTTTCTTTGATGAATTACAAAATCTGACACTATTCTGCCTGGTGGGGCTTTTTTTTTTCTTTGTTGTTTGTTTTTTTTTATAATATTGATGCATTTTAAACAGGAAGAAATAAGAAAAAAGGGACAGATCTAGTCCCTATTCTCATCTCACATTTTTCATGTATTGTGTGACTCCCTAATGGCTGAGAACCTGTTCAAGACTCCTCATTGTCAGTGTGCTCAGGTCTCAAGGGACAAGACCCACAGCTAATATTCAAGACAATATATTTCTGTTTATGAATAATATGAATAAATTAATACTTTTTTTATTTTGCCTCTTACGTGGCCTTAATGAAGACCCTGTCTCTCCAGAGCAATGGGTACCATCTATTATCTTCATTTAAATATTCTCTCCCTGCCTCAAGCCCCAAACTGAAATCTGAAAACCAGGAAAATTGTTCACTCCAGGCTTTATTCAAATCTACAAACAACTTTCTGCAAATAACTAGAGCTTTAAACTAAAAATACCACAGCATAAAGAGGAAATATGGCCAAACTTAGTGGTCTTTACATTTATAGGGATGCTGAAGTCAAGGCATGAACCTGATGATACTTGATATAAAAGACTTTTAAAACCATGACAAAACCTATTTATACAGCATTGTTCCCATGTGAAGTAGATAAAACTCTCAACTTTCCTCCTGCCCCACTCTCTATGCTGCCAAATGTCTTTCCACCTCACACAAGAGAAAATTTGCTCTACTGAAAGATGTGAGCTTTGTGGGGAGCTTTTAGCTTCATATGGAGAGCTTCTCTGCTGGGGAGGAGGAGCTCCTGATCAGCTCCCCCATTTTGCTCTCATTCACTTACAGATGTGGCAGTATATCTGGCCTTGGAATATTTTGAAAATCCATAAACTTCTGTGCTCCAAGACTTGTGTTGGATTTAGTTTTGAAAATCCTGCTGTAGAGTACATGCAGCTCTTCTCCAGAAGTACTTGATTGCTTCATCTCAGGTGACCAAACTTTCTACAAATTATTTCTAGACATTTGTGATGTTTCAGAAACCGCCTGTCCAGGAAATCTGTGTGGGTGAGGCTTTGTTTGTTTCAGGCACTGAGCCAAGAGCAGGGATGTGAATGTTGCTCCTCACTTGAGTAGAAACCTCCAAATCATTGTACTTTTTCTGGTGAGAATCATAACAGTAACATGCTTCAAGCATGTGGACATCTTGGTTCAAGCTCCAACTGGCATTTTTGCTTTGTTGGGTTATAGGATTGAGTGCTAAGTTCTTATTCATAAAAGCCTCCCAATATTTGTGGGAGTGAAAATGGATATCTAGACCAAGATTTGGCCCTCAGTTCACCTGTCTAACTAGAGAACTGTGATTCAACTTGAAGAAGCAAATGAAGCCAGCTATAACAGATTTGGAAGGAAGTGGGCAAGAATTTGAAAAACACACATGAATAAATTACCCCTTTTCTCCTGTTCTTTCAAAGATTACATATATTTAGAGTGCCACAAATGTCACATCATCAAAAAGCTCAAACTCAGCAGGTATTCAAGGTTACTCTCCCACTGGAAATGTAGCAGGCATCCAGGCTCTGTGGCCTCACAAACCAGTCGCTGATCCTGGTAGACAACCAGGATGCAATCAAAATAGGAAGACCATAAAAAACTCATGTGCTGGTTGAAATTATTTATCCAAGCAACTTGATGAATACCTATAAATAAGAAATACAATAGCAGTGACTGGAGTTGGCTCAAATATTATCCACAATTAATAAATCGACCCATCCTATGTACTGTGTTATTTTCCCTGTCATTTTCACAAGCTACAAATATGATAATACAATTAAATGACAAGTTCAATCACTTCTTTATTTCATGTATATGTATAATATAATATTTTATAGCTATATTACAGAAAAGACTGTTTACTCACGCTGTATCTTCTCTAGCATAATTCAGAGCTTGCTTGCCTAAGAAATTACTTGTCTGAATTTTGATTAAAATAGCAAAACCTCATTGTTCCTTTGGCAAATGAATTCAGTATTTAAATGAAACTCATTGTGGCATACTTTTCTATGAAGCAGAGGCCTTTAGCTTCTGGAATGGCTTTAACCTCCAGCACAGCACTTCTGTGTCTGTGTCTGATCCACCCATAATTCATCCCTCTTCCAAAGCTTTGTCAGTGTTTGTGCTCTGTACTTAGTTCCCAATGAACTGGCTATAACACAGTAGTTACAGCTCCCTGGAAAATGACACACAGTAACTCTGTCAAGTTTTTTATTAGCTTGGATAGCTCTTTTATTTTAGCAAGGTGTTTTATTACCTCAGATAGCATTGAACTAGTTCTGAAGTGGATGAGTGAAGACTTGGAGATCCAGTTTTATATTGAGAGCCATTAATTTTTTTAACAACAACCCCTTGATTATTGATAGGCTTTTGTTCTTTACAGATATTGCACAACACATTGTTTGAAGTGAATCAGAGCACACAAACTTTCACAATTACTGGAGCTTGGATGGGTCATAGCAATTAGCCAGCAGAAGTCCTCTGACTTTCAGGATGCAAGAGGCATCTGCTCTTGACCAGAAGCTACTCTTATCCTTTCTGTTTCATATTATTTCTCAAAAACAATCCTAGAAATATTACAGAGAAAGGAAGAGTCTGTAATTCTCGACTTGTGGTTACTCTTTTGCCCATTAATCCTCAGGTACACTCAAACCCAGCTCATTTGGAATAGTTTAGCATTCCACCTCCATAACTCCGTGAATCAAGATGTACTCCATCAAAATAAATTAATAGGAAAGAGGGAGTACAATGGGGTTCAAGCCACAGAAGTGGATAAACTAGAAAAAAATTAAAATAAGCAGAATTTAATTGAAAAGTCAGTGTCAAAAATGGTGTAAATCCTTGCCAAAATCACATGTAATTCACCCTAATCCAAATTCCATGAGCCCAGTAACTCTTCTCTTCATTTATATGCCTTCAGTTACACTTTTAGGACTTCAACATTTGTTAAATTTGAACTGATCTCATAATCTGGATTCCTTGACCAGCATAAAATAAGAAAACGCGTCTTAGAAGAAATTTTGGAAAGTGATCAAGAAATTAATTTGCTCCCTTTTTCTAACAGAGACTTCTTTACATTATCAAAGTACTTAAGTAATCTAAAGCTTTAAAATTGAAACAGATTGCAAAATATTTGATAGCCTTTTTACAAAAAGGATGTACTGAGAATACAAAATTTCTCTAACGAACCACAACACAATTTCCTTACAAGTTCTTTTGTGCAAAGATGGTTTCTTTTTAAATTCAAAATTAAAAGGCAACATTTATTTAAAGTTTGAGTCTTTTTAAACTTTTAGGTCTCTGAAATCTGCCTGTGACTATTACTTGATAAAGTTGAATCCTTTTGTATTAATCAGTCTTATTTATGAATCACACAGAACTGTACCAATCAAAAGTTTCTTTTGTGTTTAGGTTCTTTTGCATTAGAATTCTGCTGACATTGGGCTATGGCATGTAACATTTTCCTGTGTTTTCCCCTGGACTGTTTGTATCGTGGCCTCCAAAGCCCACAGCACAGGATAAACATTCTTGCTACTGTTAATATGACAATCAATAGCAACGATCCCCAGATTTGTCAAGCAATTGAATAAACAGAAATCCATGTCTCCCCAGGATCTTCCTGGAAAGGGTTCAGCTGTAGAATTGGCAATACAAAAACAACAACAACAACACAAAGAAGTCTCATTTTGACTTGAGTGCTAAAGACCCTTTTCTGTTTCTTGCTCCTGGTGTCCATATTGCAGCTGTTACTTACAAGATGTGGCTGAAAGAGAGGAAGTTTAGATTCAATCTTAGGAAGAAATTCTTCCCTGTGAGGAAGGTGAGGCCCTAGTACAAGTTCCCCATCCCTGGAAGTGCTCAAGGCCAGGTTGGCTGGGGCTTGGAGCAATTTCTCAGGAGAAAGTGAGTGGTGCTTTGCAGGATTTGGACTTTGCAGACCACCTCTGATCACAACACCTCCTCATGTGTTTACATTAATTCTCGAGATTGAGAAATTTCCACTGTCCTTATGGACTCTGTTGTCAAGATCTCCCAGATAGATTACACTTTCCTGCTAAAAAAATCATACTGTGGGGATCAGCTAAAGTTAAATATAAGGGAAACCTTATACACCCTGGGATTGGATCATCTTTCAAACAGGCTGTTTGGTGGATAAGATTTCACAGGGAAAAGTGAAAGCTGAGTAAGTAAAGGAAGCTGAGTAAAAACTAAATGAGTCATTAAGCAGGTTTTTCTCTACCAAAGTTCCAGCTACTAATTCCACTTCAACTGTGACCTTAATAAGAAAAGTCTATCTGAACAATTTGGGAATTCAGAGATAGGACTCAGACACTCACATGACCACATCAACAAAAATAATAATAAAACTCCCAACAACACCCCACCAAAAAATCTTGCCCAGAGAAGCTGTGGCTGCCCCTCTCTGGAAGTGTTTCACACCAGGCTGGACAGGGCTTGGAGCAGTCTGGTCAAGTGGAAGGTGTCCCTGCCTGTGACAAAGCAGATGGAACCAGATGGTGTTCAACATTCCTTCCAACCCAAGCTATTGTAGCATTTTACAAAAATCAAAACAAGCTGCTTATTTGCCAGAAATGTCACATGAAGTTAGAGCCTTTTGACCTCTAAAAAGTAGGGTGTAAATTCACAGCTCCTCAACCCTGCTAGAGGGGTGAGCAACATCATAATCTTGTGTAATCCAGCCTGGGGAGAGGCTGCTGTGTGCCTGAGGACAATTCCTTAGTCTGCATCATATATTCACATCAGAACCTGCATTTCCTTCCGAGGCAGTGACTCCCCTCTTCCAATATTTCCTTCCTTTTTGTTCAAGACTCACAACAGAATGAAAATAAAGAGCTGACGAGATAGTAGTTTGAAAAATTCATTCAAGAACCTGCAAAGTCACCAACAAGAGCTGGAAATAAACACATCTGGGAAGACAAATTCCTTAACTGCTCAGTGCTGAAGGACATGGTAGGTAACATTAACTTGGCTAATTGTTTACTTGCTTAGCTAATCTAACATAATCTGCATTGATTAGATTTTGATTTCATGCTGGATGAGTATACTGCTTCTGTGTGCCTTTCAGTTAATTTGTGAACCGTACCAAAAAGACATTTTTATAACACGTTTAACGCTCCAAAGCTATGAGGGAACAGCAGCGAGAGTGAAGGAGGACAGCTCTGCTGGTATTAAAAGGGTCGTTAAACTCAGCATTAGGAAAAGGTCTTGTTTTGGGTTGTATTCAACATGCCTGAATAAAAATGAAGTGTAAGCAAAAGGCATTGAAGAGAAATATTCAAATGCAAAGCAGAGTGTTGGTTCTTGCATGTGTAACTATATGGAGTTTATGGATGTTTGTTCTCCTATTTGAGCTCCTTTCATAGGTCTTTAAAGATCTCAAAGCCTCAGTTCCTGAGCTCAATACTCCAATGGTTTAAGGGTGAAATGTTATAACAAGCTCAACAAGACTGCCATGTATTTAATATATCCTAAATATTCACAGAGAAGAACAGAGGTATTTTTAAGGCTAATGAAATCTAGAAATATGTAAGTTTTTGATCAGCTTTCTGAGTTTTATTGCCATGGGGCCAGAAAATTTCCCAAGAGTTTATTTAAAGCATTTATTACTTTCAACAGAAGGAGGAAGGGAGCACAGAATTTGTCTTAAATAATTTAAGTCAACTTTGATGGAGGTAATCTTCAGAAATATAGATCTATTGCATTTAATGCTATGGCAATTTGACATATAAACAATACTTTTTCCAGCACAGGAGTTTAGAAGTCCTGTTCTAGCTAAAAATGGAAATAATGGCTTCATGGGCCATTAATAGGTGACAAAGTTCAGGCCATCACCTTAAAGCCTCCAGTTGAAATTTAGACTGGCTGTGACTAAAAGTAATTTTTGTCTGACAGCTCATGTGAAGAGAGTTACTTCATTTCATAATAAATGTGTGGAAAACAGCTTAAAAATTATCATCACAATTTAACAATTCCATTGGCAGTTCTGGGAGCACCATGGATAGATGGAAGTCAGTCCTGCCTGTCTGGGGCTGAGTGAAGTCAAAGAGGGATAGGGAAAAAATATGAAGAAAGTCTATGAATGTTGTAATTCTTCTGTGGAAGAGGTCACAAATTTATTTGCTTGAGGCTCTCTGTAGGACTAAAACTTACCTGTTTCCACAGACAAAGCTGCTTGCTGGCTAATGCAGGATTTTTGTTCCATTGAGCTGACTTATCTGGTGTGAAAAAAAAGGAAAATGAGAATTTTAGGCCATGACCATTTGGGAAGGAGATGATTTTCTGTAGATAATAAAATGTCTTTTTCTGTCTTAGGATGGCAATGCTAGCAAATGCAAAAACCAAAGTTCAGTTGTGTGGCTCAGTTAAATCCCAAAATTAGGTGGGATGAGCCAAGCCACATGGAGATTGCTTTTCTGTAACTGCTGAATGACAAAGACTTTCCAACATAACTTCTATTACCTAATTTGATGTACATTCTTCTATTCAAATAAAACTGAAAAAGCTATGAAGCAAATAAATAAGCCTATATTCATCTAAATTTTAAATTATTTTTGCTCATATCTGAGAAAAGTTCACTACCTTTCCTGGAGCAATTGATGTGTTCGTTAAAAAGGAATTTAAAGGACTCAGAAAACATGTTCATGAAATGTGGATTTCAGCTCTTCCTAAATAAATGTGCCAGGCAAAATGTTTGCAAACATATCCATTCAGGAACCTGAAATGCAAATCATCTTCTCTGTCCAATCACAGCTAAAAGTATTCATATCATTTAGCAATAACAATCAGCTATTAAATAATAGTTAGGAAGTAGTCATTGCCTATTAGTGATAATGCTGGGAAGGGAAAGTGAGTGTGAATTAAGGCTACTGGCAAAGGATGCTTTCAGCTTTATTGTGCTAGCTAATTCTCATGGTGGCACTGCTTCATGCTGTTGTACTATACATACAGAAAATGGGAGTTGATCCAATGAAGTCACACTTGATAAACCCTTATTTTACTGCTGGGGTTAGTGCAGATCATACAGTAGAGTTCAACAGGATAACTATTCGTGGGCACAGACAAAAAAAGAGCTAATCTTGAGAAAGTAAATTATTACTGTGTCATGAGATTTTATATGTATGTACTTATCTACCTATACACATGCATATATAATAAGGATCTATGGACTGATTTTTACAAAAAACTGTTAAGATTGTTCTATGTTAAGGAGAAACTGTATGTAATTAATGATTGAATTATTTATTTTCACTTGAGGAAGCTTTAAATTATGGACTTCTCACATTTGATTTTTTACATCAAAGCATGGTCAATATTTTTATCTCTGTGCAGGTCCCATTGTTTCTTGGTTAGCTCAGTTTCTTCTGTTGCTGCATGGAACAAGTTCTATCCTTTGGTGAGCAAAGCAGGATTAATTTCAGTCAGAAGCAATGTGTTTGTGCACCCAAGAACTGGCTTTTTTCTGTACAAAACTCTCTCTGATTTATGTCCCATATTTTGAAAAATGCAGTAATAGCATTGCATCATCTAAATCAGGAATGTGTAAATTATCCCAAAAGCTGAGATGCAGGAGAGCAGAATACCTTTGTCAGGTCAAGAAACATGATTATTTCCATGGCTACCAGCAATGCTTAATTGCCATAATAGGCTCTTATTCAAGGAGAAGTAGCTAGGTCTGCAAAGAAGAGTGAATATGTACTTTGTGAGAAAACCATTAACTACAGAGAAATGTTCTCAAAGTACAACTGAAATATAGAACAAAATACAGGCAGCTGCTTAGCATCTCCAGTAATAGTACACAGGGTGTTCTGAGTCATCCATGTTTTTCACTGGGAAACAACACAAATATCTCATTAAAATCTCTTAATTACCAAAATATTCCTGATTACCAAGTCAACATAAATAGAAGAATTAGATCTCCAGTCCCCCATCTTGTGGTTCCTATTGAATTTTACAACAAAACTTCCAGACAATCAACACAATGTTATGTAAAAATGAGCCACCTCTGCTTGTGGACTCTCTACAGGTTCCCAGTTTGTCACTACTGCCACTGAGGATGTGGGAAAATACTGCACATCTAAAACTGTGACACTGAAAAGAACAGCTGACCTTCATAATAAATAATGTAAAACATTTGTTCACTTGACCTAGCCTAGATAAAAATTAATTTTGAATCTTTCATTCCCCAAGGCTAAAAGTGTTCTAACTTTAGGTAACATGCTTTTTAAAAAAATGTTTTATAGTACTAAAGGTACTTCAAAATAAATATTGCAATCAAAGCATACAACTCCTGCAACTGTTGATATCTGGAAGGTTTCATGAAAGGACCAGTCAGTTATGGTAGTGCTTTGTGGCATGATTTAAACCTGTGCTAGAAAGCTGCAGATTCTCGTGGTAGGAACAGCAGCTGTCTGAGGACAGTGGCTCTGGTGGTCAACCTTGGAAGCTTAGAGTTTTTAGTGGAAGTGGAAGTTTGTTTTTAGTGCACTGTGTGTGTAGAAATGCTCACTGCACCACCAATGTTTTTCAAGAAAATAGTGTTCTAGGATCGTAGAATCATAGAAGGGTTAAGGTGTGAAGGGACCTTACAGATCATCTACTTCCAACCCAGATGATTTTGAAACGTAAAAAGATATTAAGCTGTTCAGGGAATCATAATGCTTGAAGACAGCATTCGATCCTTCTTTTAAAAAATATTACAAGTCCATCAGTTGATCTCAGATTATTGGAAAACACGATTATTCTCCTAGCCTCACGCCAAGGCTGCCTTGTCTTTTCAAATTTTGAGCCCATCAGAGCATAGAGCATCTACTATTCTGAATTTATATGGTTCCTGCCAGAATGCAGCCCAATTTTTGATAGTTACCTGAGTTACCATAATGAATAACTATAGCAGCAGTGGGAGTTCAGCCTTTGAGGGTGGAGGCTGCAGTGAATATTTCTCATCTATTTACTTATTGGGAAGGGCCACTGCAGACAACATCAGTGTCTAATGCTTACATAACTGTAAGTTTAAAGTATCTCTACACTAAAAAGTGGCTTTCAAGACAGATTAAAAGAAGAGCAATTTTCCTCATTATGAAACAAAAGTACCTTGTGATTGTAATACAGAGAAAAGGTGTTATTGAGTGATGCATCTAGCTCCCATGTCTTGAAAGGAAATACAATATTCTTTGGCTTACCTAGTGCTCACTTGAGGTATTCAATCTAAGCAGTCATTTCAGAGTTTTACAGAAGACAATACAAAATACTGTGCAATGATGGACAAGATCTTTTAACAACAAAGATCAAACAGACAGGGAATCCTTTCAGACTCACAATATAGATAAAAGGACATTTTTGTATTTCCAAATGATACTCAGGGCTCAGGTGTTGCAGACAATACAAAAGCAATGTAATACTGCTTCTCTCCAATGCACTTTTACTTCTGAAGTTAGTTCACCTATATTGATTCACTGATGGTCCTCATTTTCTATCAGCTTTACACACCCCCTTTCTTAAGAGGTCAGTGCACAACATAAAATAATACTGAACCTAGAAGGAAAAAAGTAAGGTTATTTGTGAGACTACAGTTGGAATTGCCTCCTTGCTCCATTTAGTTCTTCAAGAACATAAAGCAGAATATTCCTTCATGCCTTGTTTCCATTGTCCATCATATTTGATGACTTTTCTCCCAAAGCAAATAAAGAAAACATACCTGTTACATTGAAGTTCTAATCAAGTAATCTGCATATTGGTTGTGGAAGAGGAAACAATTGAAGGAAGGGGAAAAAGGAATATATGTACCTGGTCCTCCTATGTAATGGATAACTATTTTATTTATAAATATTTACAAAGAGTTTTATTTATAAACAGTTTCCAATGGCTTCAGTGGAAATTCTCTTGAGGCATAAATTCAGACCTAAAGCTCAGGTGAAAGTTTATAAAGTCAGAGGTGGTTCCTGCAGGCAGCACACAGTGTTTAGGTTAAGTGGTGCCAAATGAGCAGGGCCTCAGTGCTGTGAGTTAGCTCTGACACAAGCATGCTGGCATCAGTGGGGTTCTTTACCCTGACCCCATGAGCCTTTGGTCAGTCTTTAGCATGAATGGCCAGGGAAACAAAGCTACAGACCATTATCCAAATGAAATGTAGAGCACATGACAAAAACCGGCATGTTGATTCTGATGTTATGCCAGAATTTGAAAAGTAGCAGTGTTAATCCTAGAAGTTTCTCCCTAGGGAGTTTCCTATCTAATATCTTAGAACATTAAGTCTTCCATGAACAAATTATTTGGATTATTCTTTCAAAAATTGCTTTTGCTTGCTTTTTTTTATAAAGTAAATTGTAATGGAAGGTGACCAAGCTCTTAAGTTGAACCTCAGAACTGGACACCCACTTATAACTCAACAGAATGAAATACAATAATACTATCTAGTCAGTCATAGAGACCAGAATAGGGAGAGAGATTGATAAATAAAGGAAAATGAAAAAAAGGAGTTTGATGTATTTTTTAGCAGTATATTCATTTTTCAGGTTATATATTGATAAAGGTCACTGGTGACAGTGACTCATTATTGACTGATCAAAGGCCATCAAAGTCAGCGGAAGTCTCCATGGAGCCTCATTCAATTACTGTTGTCAGGAGCAAGTCAGATATTTCCTTTCATAGACTTTGTCAGTGTGAAAATCTTTGACTGTGGTGAGTGTGAAGAGCAGCCCCCAAGACCCATAGGTATCCTCTAGGCCAGGCTCTTGGGTATAGGAGAAGGCACTTTCAGGAGTACAAAGTAAGAGAAGATCAGTTTCAGAAAATAGATCAGATTGGTAGAAAGACTAAGATGCCTTAAGAGCACATACATGAGTAAGAAATGAGACAAATATGTACCAAAGTAAAAATAAGTATTTCTTTCTTTAACTAGAGGAAGGGAAACATGCCCCCAGAGCCCAGGGGGGTTGCAGCCATATGATTTTTACAGAGACCTTTCATAGTACCATATTACCCTCCTGCTTGTGAAGAACATTTCAGTCCTGATCCTTTGGCCTTCAGTGGAAAATATTAAAACCAGACCTGAAATTAGTCTTGAGCTGGGCACAATGTGTCTGACACTAACTGGGAATTTTGGCCAAATGCAGATGATAAACACAAATAATTGCTCTGCTGTTCCTTCAGGATTTCCTGACCCTTTCTCCTTTAAATGCCAACATTTTATAGGTTCTTTCCCCTTTTTTATTCTTCATAAAACCACTTTCAGTCCAGCATAATTTTCCAGGCAAATTGCACACTTGTCAGATCACCTGATTAAGAGCTCCATATTCATTACTATAAAAAAAACCCCACGCTTACTGAATCATTAAAAAGCAGATTGGTCAGTAATAATAATAAGTTTTGTGCTAATAAATACAGTTCAGCATGCCTAATTCTGTGTCCTACTCAAATACCAAGAATGAAGAACTTAGCTTTTAAAAAGTACATTACTGAATGTACTATTAGTGCATCGGTCTTCTTAAGGAACATTACTGCTGTCTTTAAAGGGCAGCCAGTTCATGTATTAATTATGTCACTGAAAGAGTGCACTGATTTCTTGAAAATCTCTTCATGCATAAAAGCAATTTGAATATTGTATATGGCTCAACCCTCTCAATCAACTTGAATACAAAGGAAGACCAAAGTAGTGCTTGAGTTCAAGAGCTGGCATCAGGAATAGAAACACAGGTAAATGAATTCAGTGCACTTTTCATCACCACATGTCTGTGGGGCAAACACCTTCAGGGAGACATGGCAAACCTGGCCAGGAGGAACAGGCTACCAGAGCAAGGCTGCACAGGGTTACCATGTGACACCAGGATGTATTTTGAGAACTTCATGGAGAAAATGGTGGAGAAAGATTCACAGGGAGAGTTTGGATGTCACCCTGAGATTCAGCAGCAGCAGAGTTACATCAGTGAGTTAATTTCCAATTACATCAGTAATACTGAGCAATTAATATGTTAGAGTATATGTATTGTGCAACAAATCTCATGTTGAAATTCCATCCATATTCAGACTATTGTCAGCCTTTAGCTGAATTCAAAATCAAGTCTAGACATTATTTCCTTGCTTAAATAACAGCTTTTGGACATTAATTATTCTTTCTACTGCTCTCAACCTCTGTCTTTTTTTAGAAGAGAATTTTATCTTCCAGTCACAGTCCTCCTGTCCTTATGCAAGGGAAGCTCCAAACCCCATAAAAATTCTTGCAAGGAAAGAGCTGTATCATCCTCTCCTGCCTTTCTAATAAATTTCTATTTCTACAACAATACTTATAAAGAAATCCATCTATAGTGATTTTCTCAACAGGGGTCAAGAGAATTTCACATTCTGAAACTCAAAAACTTCACTCTGCTAGAGGTTCAACTGAAAGTACCTGGGGTTCGGGAGTGCTATCAACAATTATTCTGTAGAACAAGCATACTCGGTGAAATTCCTTTGAAGAGGAAAAAGGTCAGGAAATCTGTCATTTTACAAGGATGATCTCAGTAGTACATAAAGGAGGTTCTCTAGAATGTGAACTAACATCTACTGAGCAAAACAATTGGAGTACAATAATTGAAATGCAACCAACTTCCTATAATTGCTCATTATTACCATAACACAGATTATTTCTTTGAAAGAAAAGCTCTCATTTTGATTTGAAAGGTTTAGTGTTTTTCTCCCTCCTCACTATAATGAATCTTTGACTCACAGGCTAAAGAAATTAAAGGGAGAAGGAAGAAACCAGAGAATGTGGACACACAGGAAGAGTGTACTAAAACATGGGCTTGATGTGAGAACTCTTAGAGATACAGTTTGAAAGAGTAATACAGAATTTCTTATGGGATTGGAAACTAACACAGAAAAGGAAAGGGAAAAAACCTAGCCTCTTACTGCTAAAACACATAGTTGGAAGCAAATCCTTTGATGAGATACTTAATATTTGAAAAAGTGATTTGTTTGTCCCAGCCCAATTCATTAGTTCTGAGCAAGTGCCATAGCTAAGAATATAAATTTCAGGAGTGTTCTTGGTTGGTGATAGGTGCTGCCTAATGGCAGGAAGTTATTTCCCTGCTCAGAAGCTACTGGTTTCTGTGTGATTTAAAATGCCACCAGAAATAAAGAAATTATCAAGGCTTGGCCTTGATATATGAG